ATAGCTCAAGACTCCAAACTTGATGTTTGCGGATTATTCTGAGAGGTAGCTGCTGTCGGGGGGAGACAGAGACAAAGCTGTGTGTCACTGCATGCTGCAGGCCACCTCCCCTGGCCCTTGTGACAGCCCTGACACAGGCTGAATGGGAAGTGTTACAAGATGGTGTCCTCAGCATCCCACAAAGACCTGCTGGGGAAGGGGGCAGCGATCAGACAGAACCCATCAAAGGCTGCCTCTCCACCTCCCCCTCAGGTCAGAGGGAGTCRCTGAGGTGCTGGGCACAGCTGTGTCCAAGGAGCTGACACCTCCAGCAGCAGTGCTGGTGCCTGACCTGCTCCTCCAGCAAAAGGAGAGCCGCCAGCAGCTCCACTCTGGGGCACGAATGCTGCAGATGGCTCTGGATGGGTGGGGGTGGCTTTCTTTTAACCATGAATTGCCTTTTTTACCAATCATCATGTGTGAGACAGTCTGCAGCCAGCTGCAGAGAAGACAGCCCRGGATGTTCCCTGTGTGGCACCTGAGGTAACTTCTTGCTCACATTCTTGCTCCTGAAAGAAATGAGCAGGGAATGGAAGCTCAGCTCTGGATCGAGAGGCCTGGGAAGGCTCTGTGCTGGGCAGAGCACATTGAGGAGGGATGCTGGGAGCCAGTCTTGTGCTTCGTTCCCATGATTTAGCACAGACCCTGCTCTCTCAGATTCATAAGGTCCTTYTGGATCTGTTTTTACTATTCTAAACAGTGACTTTCCCATCCTTAAATAATTTCTATTTCACTCTATTTTAAAATTATTCTTTTTCCTCACCACCATTTCCATGTTTCCTTCGCTATGTTCCCAGTGGATCTGACACTTCTACATTAATAGAAGACAGTGACCTGTGATAAAAATACATTTTTATGGAGTGCTTGGGCAGAAAACATTACAGGACCTGGGCAGGACATAAAAATACAATAAAGTATATGAAAATCCAGCTCCGATGGATTCATTGCCACAAAAACAGAAACAAGTGAGCAGACACCTTGGCAAAGACTCAAATAATTTTTCGTACAGCATTCATGGAAGCAGGCAAGGGACAAAATCTGTTGCAAAGCTATTTGGAATAGGAAAAATAGCAACTGAACAGACATGACACATTTGGACATTCTGCATTCTGTAAGTTAAAACAAAGAGATGGGATAAGAGCTGAAAAATCACCTGTGAGAGTTTATACAACAGCACGGGGTCTGTTGGGCAGTGGAGTCCCAGTAACACGTCAGAGAACAGCACTTCGTCTTCACACCACCCAAAAACCCCCTGAAGAAGTGCAGGCCAGGAGTGTCCCTTCCAGCCATGATGGGCAGAAGTTGAGAGACCAGGGGAGAAGGTGCTGGACAGCAGAACTRGCCTTGAGGTACAGTTTTAATTGCATTGATTTTCCAGCTCACAGCTGAAACTGAAAGCACCACCCCAGGGTCCTCAGAGCACACAGAGGAACAGAAAAGGGTCTTCTCCACCAGCTCTGCCTGGACATATCCTGGTAAGAGCACACTGAGCTACCCAGGACAGRGGGTAAAGAAGCTATCCAGGACTAAACTGGAGGAATTAACCCCCATGAACACCCAGAATCCATTCGTGYTTGCAGCCATACTACTGATCAAAGCCATACACTCCCCTTGACTGGTAACAGTGATCAAGCTTCAGAGCATCTGCCTCTGTACAGAGCCTTTTCCTCTGGGGCCTGTCCAGCCCTCAGGAGTTGGAGGTCCTGGAAGACTCAGGGTAGGCAGCTGCCTTCTGTGATAGCAATAGCAGCTCTATCTTGGACCTCCAGGGCTTTTACTCCTGCAGAGAAAGCAAAGGCTGAGCTAAACCACAGACTGGGTATGTCTGCTTCTTCTTTTGGAAATACAGCTGCCAGTGCCACAGAACAACAGGAAAAATCAGATTCATTTCCACAGAGATTTTATCACCTCAGTCTTGGCATGGGAGAGGCATCTCCGCCCAGCTGTGAGCAAGSGAGTGCATTTTGCTGGCTTTTTTTATGTAATCAGAACAAATTCCTTGGAGATGAGTCACAGGGTTTCAAGGGTGTCCAGAGAGATGTCAAGCAGCCTCAAGTGTAAATCAGTGACACACCTTGCTGAGAAGACTCCTGCTCGACAGCAGGCCCATTTTCCCTAAAGCTATCAATCAAGGAAAGGGGCTTGAGGGATRTTACCCAACAGGCTCCCAAAATCCACACAAACACACGTGTGGCATCTCCAGACCCAGGACACTGCTGGTGTTTACATTTCCTCTGTAGACAGTGATGTTTTCAGGGTGGAGCTGGAGTGCTTCCCTGCAGCTGCTCTCTAGGCTTAAACACTGAAGATTTTTGGACATTCAGGCTGGAGGACTTGGGCAGTCAGTGAAGAGATTTGAACTTCAGAAACAGAGATTCTGCCCCACCAAAGCCTTGTCAAACTGCAGGGGTTCCTGCCTGGGATGTTTGTTGTGGTGTAATGGCTGCATCCCATTGCAGTTTCAATGCTGTGATGATGCCACATGAAGCAAATCTGAAGCAAAATTCCCTGCCCAGGAATGAACTCCAGCCTCCATGCAGGCCAGAAGACCAAGATGATACCTCTGTATAATTTCAAGGCATAGCCTGCTTTACTGACTCCTTTAGAGGCTGAAATGTAGMGGATAACCAGAAAGAACTGGACACAATCTCAGAGGTCCAGAGTGACACTGAGGAAAATGCTCTTGGACCTTTGGGTGTCAGAGCAGATGAAACAGACAAAAACCTTGATGGAACTTGGTTCTGGGTCAGTCTTCTTTTACTAATGTCAAGGGCAAGGTTTGGAACAAGGTACCAGTGCAGGTCAGCCTCCCAATTTGCAAGATRCCTGCAGGTCTTTCTTCAAGCAGGTGCTTCCAGTCTGGAGTGGGGAAAATCTCTATTTCTGCATTCTTTGAGGGCAACTGTAGAAGACACAACCCAGCTAATATGCCCTTCACCTTTCAACTTCACCCTCAGGTGACTAACAATTACCAGCTACCATTAATATTAAATGGGAGAGAAAGAAATGTGATCCTCTCTCTGCTCTTCACATTCCACAATATCACAAACAATTTGTCATATTGGGAGGGGCAGAGGCAGGAGGAGCATTAATTATTGATMCTTGGGAACAGATGGCTTTTCTTGTACCAGGGCAGTGAAATGTAAGAGGAGCCCGTGGGTGAGGATGTGAGGATTAGATGGGCAGACACGTATCAGGTAACCAGCCTTCAAGTGGAACAGGAACTTTCCTCCTAGAACCAGCTCTGCTGGGCTGCAGAGCTCTCAACAACAGCCCCGGCTGCAGAAACAAATCCACTGACATCTGAATTACTGAGGCTTCACCAGAACCTTTCAACGCTCCCTCACCTCTGTACAGAACATCCYRGRCACGATGACTGATGGTTTCCAGACAGCAGAGCTCTGGTAAATCAGGCACCCAGTGCTCTCTCTAGGAGACCTTTCTGGTTGCATTTCATGTGTTCATCCTCATCCAACTGCCCTGTGCTGTGCAACCTTTATTCCTGAGACCACATACCATGTCCAAGAGTGACCTCCTCCAGCCTTCGATCCCATTTGGGGTGCTGGCCTCCAAAATCAGAGATCCAGGTGATGTGGACCTGTAACTCCAACCAGAGACTCTGGTCCAACGCTTTTTGCCATTTTTTCGTATTGATCCATGTAAGGATCAAAAGCAAGAAGACTTTATTCATGTCATCTGCAGTGGTGTCCTCAAGGACCAGTAAATAAGCACTCATTTTCCCAATCCATGGTTATTCCACTGAGCGAGGCAGACTCTCTTGCCACCTCCACAGGCCCAGAAGGTCCTTCAGAACTGTATCTACTCCCTTGGTATATTGGGGACCTCCTCACAGCCTTTTTCTAAACTCTGTTTGTTCTTTTAGCCTCTACTGAGAGATTGTTCTGAATTCTCRTTACACTGATAATTAGACATACTCTCCTCATTTCTCAAGTTGACTAATCACTGATCTACAATTCCTCTCAGTCTGCCTAGGGTCATGCAGCTTGCAGCCTGTGAGAGTTCTAAGACACGTACAGTCTTGTGATTTACAGAAATACAACTTCCCAGCTTCCCTCCTAGTCTGAATAAATGGTAACGTGCTCGAGGTGAACAAATGCCAAATGCCAGGGGACAGCTATTGTCCATGAACAATACAACTTTTCACAGTGTGGAGTAGGATAGGGCAAGTTTCCCTATGTAGTGAAGAGGGAGGAGCAGTCTTAGAAAGACCTGGGCCACATCAGTGCTGGGAAAGAATGAGCTCTACCAGAAAAGCAGCAAACCTTTCCACTACAGAAGCTTTGACCAGTGTCCAAATTTGCTCAAGTTTGGTAAGGAAATGGACAGAYCTGAAGGCATTGATACTGCTGCATSMTACCGATATGAGAGCTTTTGTTCCTCCAAAAATGTTTTGTCTCACAGTGATAGTACCAGAAAATGTTTTTAATGTGGACCTGTCTCTACAGATCAGTCTCCACAGAGCCCTGGTGTGTTTACACCAGTGAGGGGCTGCTGAACAGTCAGCTGAGAGCTCAGGTGCACAGGCTGACCTCACCTCCCCCAGCTTCCCAGGGCCTGAGGAGGGGATCATCCCACCAAAGAAGCCTGTGGATTAGAGAGCAATACAATGGATCAAAAGGCAGGAGAGGCCACATCTTTTCAACCCCAGAGCAGAATTGCTCCCCTTCACCCTTCTTGAGTTAACATTTATGTGAAACCATTCCCTGCCACTCAAAGAAGAAATTACTTTATATACACATTCCAGAGAATGTTTCCCAGCAGTAATAACCGTTTTTAACATACATTGAGCTTGGGAGAATTTTACAGGCAAATGCATGGGTGGAGCTGTGTTCTGACCCACACAGGAAAGCYGTAAGGTGACATCACCATCCCAGTCAGGCTCTGGAGTCGAGGTGGCCAGCGGGCTTGGGAGGAGGATGTGCTTGGCAGGAGCTCCCTACCTCTTTGATGGCAGACATCTTGATGTTCTCATAGTAGTGCAGCGGTGCATTGGGTGAACTCATGTCATAGCCAAACCCAGCTACCGCCACCTCATCACAGTTGTGCAGCGCCATGGTTATTGCTACGCTTCCCAAGGTGGGGATGTTCTGAGAGGAGAGAAAGCAGGAATGGAAGTCATTAGCAGGTTGCCATTTTTATAATCAAAGATTTCCTCTTATTGTCTCTGCTCACAGGGGCACTGCTGCTACCAAACAGAAAATCAGGGATGTGGTATTTGGCTATAACCACACATCAGCTGCCCAATGCCAGCTTGTAGGGTTGATAACCTCCCAACTGGTAAAGAAATTAATSCAAATGGTCAGACTCCCACAACTTTGCTGTCCTGAGAATGGGGCAGCAGATGAGCTGCAGGATGGACAGTGGATACACTAGCTTTCTGAAATTAAAACAGATGTAGATAGTGGATTACAACTACACATCACTGGCTTCCAGCTAGGCTAAGGAAGAATACTTATCCCAAACAGGTCACCACACAGGAGCAGAAGTGAGGAAACTCCTTATTTTACTGATGGAAAAAGCAGTTTAAGGTTGTTAAACAGCTCTGGGAGATGGAGAGGTCAGGCATTGTGCTCCAAGATAATTTCCTTTGCTCAGGGGCATGGCACTCTGTGCCATTTCCTCTGAACCACAGCACACCGGGAAGACAAGGAGCAGTGGGCAGCCAGTCAGAGATGGGTGGTAGCACTTAGGCAGGGACACCCCAGCTGTCTTTTCCCATCTGCTGACCTGCAATTTGCACTGAAATCCAGCCTCAGCCTTCCCATTTCACTGGGCATTGCTGAGGCCCTGTGGCAGCGGTGCTGTACAACTCCCCTTGTGTGTTCTGCAGAGACAGCCAAGTGTTTCCAGTGTAAAATCCTACTTACTGACTTTTCTAGCTCCCCTTTATGAATTCTCAGATGAATCCAGAGGCAACTTTGCCCCAGGGGCTAGGGAGAGGCTGAGAAATCCTCCCACATCTTCATTTGTAGAGCATCCAACACCAGCTGTATTGGAAGTATCACGAACCCAGAGGACGTGCTCAGACAGTCACCAAGGGTGACAGCTCTTAGCTGAGATGTAGAAACCAACTGCACACTCACATTTTTCATTTACAATGGTTTCCTGTGAACAGGTGAGCAATCCTATTGCATGTTCAAAAAGATTGAGAACAATGTTTTGTGTTTCTGCTTCTCATTCAAAGGAACTGGTTTTTGTCAGCACATGACCGTGCTCACTTCTGATTGTCTGACCAGTCTGAAAAACAATGTTTTCCAAGCAAAGAATGTCATACCCCATACCCCAAACCCATATCCCAGCTGAGATGTGCAGAGCTGCGTGCACAACTCGTGTGCTATGGAGAACTCCACTACAGTGCACTGGAATTACTTTAATCTGAAAATATACAGGCAAAACCTGCTTATGGATAAATCAATGCGACATTAAACTCAAACATTTGCAGCACAACAGTAACAGTGCACATATGAAATGACAAGACCTTCTTATATCCTCCTGYTCCAGCTCTAGTTTTTGGGAAAAACAGCAGAGTCATTTTGTTCTCACTGCTTAATTTCAGTTGATRCACACAAAGCCAATATTGGTTTTATTCTAGTTACTTCAGTTAACTGTTAATTCACTGGTAGACAAAAAATATCAAGTAGAGTTTTTTAAAAAAAAATGGAAAAAAGTTTATTAGGCAAGAATAAAAACATTGCCCCAAATTTCAAAATATCCAATAACATCCTGTCTTCCTGGACAYGGCAGTTTTAACTCAGATTTCTCAGGTTTATGTTTTGCATAGATGATGAAATTCGGATGTCACTGGAATTGCATCAGCTGGTAAGTGGACGTGCCACAAAACCCTTTCCCTCAGCAGRGCTGTAGTTACAGTGTCCAAAACACAGTGAGTAAATGGTTACATCCCCGTCACTGGGAACATGATGGTGTTAACACCACCCACTCTTGCAGCGGGCCCATTCCCACGGTACTGCTCAAGGGACACACGGGGTCTTTGCCTGGAGGGAATTTCACTGGCCAAGTTAACATTTAAGAGCTAACTTTCTAATGTGAGTCTTGCAAACCACAGAGAATTAATCACACTACCCAACCTTAYGGGAGGACTGCCAAACTTTCTCTCAGGCACATTCTCTTTGGAGAATAACAGCAGACAGAAATCGAAACTGAACTGTCCTTTGGTCACCAAATATCTGCCTGACTTTATTCCATCTGTAATATCTCTTATGGTATTCCTGGAAGAATAGGAGCTAATTTTCTCATCTGCTTCTGTTCTTCRGTAGTTCCTGATGTGCCATCATCTCAGTACCACCCACTCTGCTCTCAAAAATGATCAAAACACCAGAGACTACCTATCTTCCGAATCCCTTGAACTGTAGTAGATGTGTCTGATTTGGCCCTACAACTACCAGAAATTCACAGGGTGTCTATAATAACTATAGTCTAATAACTGTATTAGCAAAATAGTTTTGCATTGCCCTAAAATCACTGGAAACTGATGATCTGATGACAGTTTCTTAATTAAAYTATGCCTTATTGATGTTAGCACCCTCTAACTGCGATAGCTACAGCTCAGCACTTGTCCCAGGTTGTGCTGCAGAGAATACAACTCAGCAGCATTCTCCAGGCCCAAGGGAAAGGGCTCTCCTCTCCTCTCAGCAAAAAAGTGGCAAATAAGAAGAGACACATATCAGAGAGGAAATGGCTATAATTACAGTCTGGCTACATGTACACAGATTCCAAGCTCTCCTGATTGTACATACACATTCATTAGCTGCAAACCTCTAATCTGGACCTAATGGACCATAAACAACCTACAGGGCAAGCTGGGGGACAAGTCACTCCAGAAGAAGTCAGGCACCATGGACATGGCTGTGCCAAACCTGGCTTGCTGTGCCCTGCACAATGCGTCAGTGCTATCTCACCACACACACCCTTGTGCCGTGCCCCAAAGACATACCAAAGCAACCACCACACCTCCTCTSTGGAGTTATGAAAAGAAAACTCTCCCAAACAACTGAGAAGGCCTCTTGTTATTCTAGGCCTCTGCTAAAGCCCCCAAAATTCCACCATCTTGCCTCAGGAATAATWATCTAGTGTTGGACCTGCTCATRRCCCTCTGTGTGCTTGGGTMTTCCTTTATCACTGAGCAGTGCWGCYTTCAGCCAAATGGTCGAAGAGGTTCAGCATTCCCCCTCCAGAAACTGTAAACAACTGCAAGGCCAGCCTCAATGGATATGTCCAGAACTGAAAGTCCACATTTCCAAGCCTGGYCTGCTTGTCTAAGACCAGACATCTGGAAAATGTAATATCCAATATAATGCTCCCCAGGGATCAGCCCTTTGCCTGGTCCCATTTGAGGGAACACAGCAGACTGACAGATGAGCCAGGGATGACACTGAAGGGCCATGTGACAAACAGCAGCAGAAACCACAGCAGTGACGAGTGACACGTCACCACAGCAGTGCTGGGCCAAGTCTGCCTGAGCCTCTGGAGCCTGGCTCCTTCCAGGGGTTCCTGTTCTCCATGGGAGAGGTGAGACCACGCATGGTGCATCTGGGTGAGAAAACCATAAAGACAAGAGAGGCAAGGATTCCTGTTCTTGTGCTGTGTCAGGGGCCACAGCAAGCTCTGTGCACAGCAAACACAGCCAGCCTGAACCACCAGGTCAGAACACCACAAATGCCTTTAGCAGTACAGACACAGGACAGGTTCTCCTWACTGCTCCTACACTGMAATCAGTCAGCAGAAATGAACACTSGAATTCCTGTGGAATCTATTGAAGCTGAGCATCACCTCATGGGCTGTGCTGGAGATCCAGCTGGTGCTGGTGACTGAACCAGGGCTGGAACTTCTCTTTGCTTGGTGCATGTGAAAAGCTCTTGCTGCTTTTCATTCCATGCGTGGGTCATTCCTGTGTCACTGCCTGCTGGACTGGAAGGAAATGACTGCTGTAAATCTGTTTTTAGAAATATTTGACTCCCTTAATATGTTAAGTGAATTCCAGTTATTTATGGGATTTTACTTAGCTCAGGGTAAGACTCACTGGATTGTTCAGACTATTTCAATTGTTACATTTTTCAATAAAAGGGTGTCACTGAAGAATAAACTCTCTACAAACAGCAATGCACCTGGATATTCAAATTGGTTTGACTATTACATTAAATTATTTGAGGGAAAACCCAAAAACTTGCTCACCTGGGAAGAATTGCTACCTTAGTTTTGTACAGATCTGATCACTCGAAGTTTGCAAAACAAAAGAAATGAAGAACAAAACTATAATAGTCATCACAACATACTCAACAGGCACTATTCCTTCTTTTTGCTTCTTTATGTTTGCATAGGAGCTACCCCAAACCTATCCTTTGTTTCTTTTAGATGAAAAGCTTGGAAATATGGCATAAAAAGCAACTGAGCATCATTCATTGAGAGCAGGCAAGTGCCTGGCATTCTGTGGAGAGATCCCTGTCCCAGGAGCTTACAATGCACACTGCAGCTCCCTTAGTACCTCCACCATGGACAGAAACAGCTGCAATCCTGGGCTTCCAAAGGCAAAGCAGAGCATCTCCAGTGCCCTTCCTTCAGCTGCCCTGGTGAYCCCTTGCTGTGAGTGGGGCAGAGCTRCAGGACTGGCTGTCTGCAGCAGAGCAAAGGGAAGGGTCAGCAGCCCATGGCTGGAACCAGGACAGCCCTGCTGCCCAGCAGGTTCCCTTCTGCCACTTCCCTCAGGAGCTCCTGAACACCTAAATCCAATCCGAGTATYTTTTACCACATCTAACCTGATGCACAAGCTCTGATTGACCATTTGCTGTAGGGCAGATCCCTGTGCAGTGCAGGGGTGTTTCTGAAGGACCCAGGGATTTAACAGAAGCAAGGATATGACTTTACTACACGCTACCTGCTCTGCAATATCTACCCCATGCTAAAGGAGAGTCATGGCCTGCTCTTCATTGAGAAGCAAACTCCCTTCAGCTCCTCAGTTTCTCTCATGGGCAGAAGAATCTGGCCAGGTTCGTACCCGGGAGAGGCTGGCACACATTTACCCATTCCCCTATACTGGTTTGTCCCTTCCCCAGCAGCTCCCAGACTGATCCCACTGCAGTGGGATGGATGGAACAGCCCAGCCCACGGGGCAGATGGGCTGCCTTGAAAACCCAAAGCTTCACAATGGCACTGAGCCTCTACATTTCACTGACTGCAGCTGCAGGGGTCCCTTGTCTGTTCCTCTACTTGCCTCAAAGATGCCATCAGGGTGCAAAAAAAGGGAGAACCACATAAATGGAAAGGATTAAGTGGGAGACTACTCTGCTSCTGCCATTTCCACCTCTCTTCTGCTCCACAAAGACCCAACAGATCCCAAGACACGTCCTTCACACAGTCGTAGTCCAGTAAGAATGGCCCAGGAGACAAAGTTTGCTGACACCAGGGCAACTCATGAGAGAAAAGGTCATGATGACCAGGAAAGGGAGCTGAAAACTGCCTAAGGAGCAAAGGGACCTCACTGGCACCTCCTGAAAGGCWGCCTGCCCACAGGAAAAACCTTCTAAGAGCTGAGAGAATCCCTGGGCCAGGACGTGCTAACACTCCGGCATCAGAGGTTAATCCCAGAGCTGTCAGCACTGTGCAGAGGTGTTAATCCATGGCCAGGTGCCTGCATCAGCCTGGTAACACCTCCTGCACATGGCTCCTCCTTCAGCAGGTTGGTGCCGAGGCTGGGTGAAGTCCAAAGAAGGTTGCTTTATCTCTTCAGTTTATAGATTCRACTATTTCCAGTACATGAACAAACCAAAGGTTTACGGTTTGGGGTCAAATCATAAAGAGAATTCCTGGATGCACAGCACAGAGAGAGAAACAAACACGTCTGCTCTGGAGTCCTCACACTCCTGGGAACTTGTGACATCTGCAGTGCTCTCCTTTCCTCACACCAGGCTCAGGGCTCCCAGAGGAGCCAGGAAGCCTCTGCTCCAATGGCTCTGAGGGCTTCTGACTGGACAGGACATTTCACTGCACAGCCAAAAGCACCACGGCAGTGACCATCCCTAGGGGTGTCTGTGCAACCTCTGATGTTTGTGTTTGTCCCCCAGCAAACTGCCTGCAGTGAAAGGGGTGACACTGCCAGCCTGAACCACCAGCTGCAATACCAGTGATGTCTGGTTTCAAGTCCTGAAGACCCGTATAAACAGAACTTCCACCTAAACAAAAACCACATTTGGCGAGTGAGAAAGCCAACCCTGGACCCACACCTTAACAAAATTCTTTAATCAGAGAGAGGATCTTTACTAGATAATTTTTTAATGCTACACCATCTTCAGGCATTAACAATTATTTTCTCCCAGACATCACTAGGAGCCCAAAGTTTTTTCTTTATCATGAGCTTATCCCAAGAAAGAGAAGAATACATATATCCATACATATGGAASAGCTCTCCAACTCTTAAGACTTCAGCAGGACTGAAGAAAACTCCTGAAAAGCTTTACCAGTCCCAGAGAGAAGTCACTATTTATTGTGGGTGTGAGCTTTTCTCCTTGCTAAGGCTTTTGGCTACCAGTGCCACGAGTGCAATCAAAATGCACATCTGAGTTGTACCCCATTGCTATAYTCCAGAATCATCTGGCCTAAATTATATTATCAAAGCAGAGGATGTTACTACATTCACCCTTTATTGAATCCTGGGAAAAACGCTTTGAGATCAGCCCCAAACTATTTTACTAGCTCTGCTCAACCTTGCTGAAAAAGYCCCCAAATTACAAAGTTAATTGGCAGCACATTGTTACCATATGTGGTGTGCAAGAGAAGCACTGAAGTTTATTTAGGCATCAGAACCAAAGGAGAGTGGAATATTACTGCTCTTTATGAGGATTTTGTGTTGGCCTTGATTACCAGGGCAACCCCAGCCTTGATCCTCCTGTGTGCAGCCTGCCCAACCCAGCACAGCACAGCACAGGACACAGCAGCACGGGGGCACCAGCCCCATTTCTTAGGAAAAACTCACTAGCCCTCAGCATTTTCCTTTTCCACATTCATATGCTTTTTTTCTTGAGTAAAATTTGCAGTAAAATTCTGGCCACAGGCTAGAAACATTCCCTCTGTTTTCCAGCTCTGACAGGATTCCTGAATTAGTGTCCTTGCACAGACCGCCCAGGGTTTATCCCAGCCCCACAAATGCACCTGCACAGCTCCCGTCGCCCCACCTGAAGGAATAAACTACAACTCACACAGTCTAGCTGGGGTCAGGGGCAAAGACTGCTCGCCTTAAAACTCCATAAACTATTTTTGAATGCTCAAATGGATTTTCGTGAACTGAAACATCAGGTTTCAATTAAGATGCCTTCATTTCCCAATCTGATGTGTGTTAAACAACCTATCAAAACCTCATAAACTTCAGTTCACAGTATTTTCATTTCCGGATTCTCTCTTCTCCTTTCAGTTTAAGCTATAACTTGTGTATTAAAATAACGTGTTTAAAAATAAAAACAAATTGGAGAAAAATAAAGGCAAAAGTATGATGATTTTTGTSCTTTATTGGGGCAGCACTCCTGATTTTCTGGTAGAGAAACCAAGGCCACATTGTTCTAAGGGTAAGTTCTGGAGAATGCAGAGAGGTGAATTAAGTTAATTCCTAGCTGAGGGGAATATTTGCAACAAGATATCTCCAGTGCACAGAACAAAAATCCAGAGTTCCCRGAATCCCAATGCAGCTTCTGTACACAGCAGTGCATTTTACAAAGGGCCTGTTCCAGTGGCTGAATCTGCACATCTCGCACTTCAAGAAGGAAATGTCTTATCTCCAGGCACCCACCCATCTGACTTGCACAAAACAGATGTCTCTGATATTCCAGAAATCTTCATGATATAATTACAGCATGGAAAGTGAGGCACTATTCCATYCAGTCCAAATCCCTGCTGCAACACAGCAAATCTGCACTGATAGCAATGGAAGGACAATGCCAGGGGCAGGGCAAGCAGACCTTGTCCAGCAGAAGTGCTTCTCTCTGGGTTTGTCAGCTGTGCCARTGTGCCCAAAAATGTCACGTGTGGTCTCTATCAACAACTATATCACATGTGTACATGAGCARTTTACCCACCCAAGTAATACTTACTCTAATGGTTGTTATATTACGTAGAGCAAATATAAATAGGTTCTGAGGACAGTGTTGCAATGTGAGATAATCCAGAAAACTCAAGTCACCACCTACTCCAACACTAACACTCCAAAAAGCTGCACTGGCGGCGAGAGATACAAGAATGACCATTGAGGTATTTTGTTAATAAATATGACCTGAAGCTGTGGTTTGCATTGTTTTCTTTTGTGAACTCTTACATATCAAACTTGCTGGGATAAGAGCAGAATTTCTCACCAAAGGCCTCAYAAAGCAAACGTTTACCCTATTTTACAATAAGCCTGGGACAAAACCTCACAGTGGCTTTCAAGGCACTGCTGAAGTGTTGATGATCCCCCCAAAATCCTCAGATCAGGAAAGTTCTTGCCTTGGTCTGAGGGAAACTCAGTGCTGCCAAAAATCCCTCCCTTTCAGTGTCCAACAGTGGAGACCCAAAGAAAAATTAACAAAAGTGTAAGCCTTCTCTGCTGCTTGTTCTCACAACCTTCTCTGAGGTTTTTCTTCCTTTGCTTTATACCTACCCCTCTGCCCATCAGGCCGTTGTTGAAAGGCAGTCCGATGAAGCTGAAAGCTGCCTCCTGGATGAAGTAGGGATTCAGGATACGTATGTCATGAGGTTCCCTTGGGACACGGGTTGCCACTGACTTCCAAAAGCCATCAGAGGCACTCTGGTAACAACAACAACAGCAACAGAAAAAAAAA